CATGTTTCTTCGTATTCAATACGACATCTTCAGTGTAACAAAACAAAAAACCGAATTCAGATATCCTGAGGTTTATATACCTTTGCCTATAACTTATGCACATTAGAGTCAATTCATTCTAAATAGGTATTTTAATACATAGTAGTGTCGTAACTTGTTGAAATAACATTTTTCATCGCTATTAGATTTGGTTTGAACGTTATTGTATTTTTTATCAAGGTAATTTCTAATAATTTTGTCAGTAACATTTGTTGGATAGTTATTTGTTAACAATATATTTTTAAAGACATTTAGATCTTCATTAAATCCAAACCAGGTATTATTAATTTTATACATCCTGTCTAACAGAGTACTAATCATTCTGGTTTTATAAATTCCCGGACAAAAACTAAAATAACTCAACATAAGTCAAGTCATAAGCAATTTCTAAAATCCAGACATACAAAAATAAAATTTACTGCTGAAAAGGAACAAAACAACCAGATTAGTTTTTTGGACGTTTTAGTTAAAAGATTAGAGAATGGAAACACCAAAACTTCAACGTTCAGGAAGAAAACATTCACTGGACTTATGTTGAGTTATTTTAGTTTTTGTCCGGGAATTTATAAAATCAGAATGGTATTTAGCACAACGAAAATAAGTAGTTTTTTTTAATAGTAAAGACCCTATTAGTAATGACCTCAAGTCCAACGTTGTATATCAGTTCACATGTGGAGGCTGTAAGGCCTCATACATTGGGGAGACTTCCCGCCATTTTGCATCAAGGATAGAGGAGCATTTACGCAGGGATAAAAAGGAGCATTTACATAGGGATAAAAATTCACATATATACAAACACATCAAAAAATACAGTAATTGCAAAACACAGAGTAACAAAAAGTGCTTTGAAATAATAGATAAAACAAATACACAGTATCAATTAAAAATCAAATAATCCCTCCATATTAAATGGAAGAATCCTGAACTTAACAGACAAGTTCAAAGTTACGAGATTACACTAAGCATTTGAACTAGAACTAGAATTACGTAACTCTAATGTGCAAGTAACGACACTACTATGTATTCAAATACCTATTTTAGAATAAATTAGAGCTACGATATTAAACTAAGCATTTTACCTCAGACTGTTTGAGAAACTAGAATTGGAATTACGTAACTTTAACATGCCAACAAGTTACGACACTACTATGTATTCAAATACCTACGGTATTTAGAATGAATTGACTCTAATGTGCATAAGTTATAGGCAAAGGTATATAAACCTCAGGATATCTGAATTCGGTTTTTTGTTTTGTTACACTGAAGATGTCGTATTGAATACGAAGAAACATGTCTGGTTCTATTAAATGAATTTTTGTTGCTCTTAAATTCGTCTCTATACTACTTTCTGTTCCGAAGTTTAGCTGTATTGTACATATCCCATCATGGAGAAAATTCGTCGGGGAGAAGCAAAAATTGTATGTATTTTCTACATATTAGTAGTCTCTAATATCGATTAAATAAGCCTTTGAAACCCTTAAATTGTCTAAATTAAAAAATTGTCTAAGCCTTTAAATCGTAGCTCGCGACACCCACTATGCTTTCGTCGGGAAAATCTGACCCCTCGTCGGAGGCATCGCCCCCCACCCCCGTCGGGTAATCATGGCGCCACCCCTGACGAACAGCCGACGCTGAAGGCACTGTGGGCGTACCATACACGAAATATTATTTCGAGGGAACGAAATAGTATTTCGAGGGAACGAAATAGTATTTCGAGGAACGAAATAATATTTCGAGGGAACGAAATATTATTTCGAGGGAACGAAATAATATTTTGAGGAAACGAAATAATATGTCGAGGAAACGAAACAATATTTCGAAGGAACGAAATATTATTTCGAGGGAACGAAATAATATTACGTTCGAACGAAATATTATTTCGTTCCATCGAAATGATTTCGTTCCCTCGAAATATTATTTCGTTCCCTCGAAATAGTTTAATATTTTTTTCTAACCATGTCCCTTTAGAGGCTCCGTTAAATCTTCTATTCATGAAAACGCTTATTTTTTCATTGACCTACATAGTGAATATGAGGGCGCTAACATTACAATTTTGTCGATGCGATTTTAACACAATACAAAAAGATTGATACATTCTTCAATCAATTGTTCTATACATAATAAATTAATTCTTGTGTAAGGCCTACGTTTTATTTTATAATAATAATAATAATAATAATAATAATTTTTGTTATCATATTGTTATTATTATTACCACTATTATCAGTGTCTTTATTATTATTATTATTATTATTATTATTATTATTATTATTATTATTATTATCTTGAATAAATGAAAAAATGGAATAAAAATGTTATTATAATTGTAATTATAATTATTATTAAATTTGCATTTTGGAATTTCACAGTCAAGACAAATTTCTATGTATGATGTGCACATTGGTTAATAAAGTTATTTTGTATTGTAAGTTGTATTTGTTGTATTCAAGTATGACTTATTGTCAAATACAAACAAAATGAAATATGTAAATAAGTATAAAAACATAATGTTAATCATCATTTAAACGTTTACTAATAACCATGTTTAACAAAATTCATTTTTCTCGTAAATTAGGTTTTGTGATATATGGCGGTTATGGATTTTGGCATAGTGAAGAACGGGCTAGTAAACGGCTCGACGAACGATCAGCAACCCTTCCTGGAGATGGACCTACAGACTTTCAGTATGGGTCTCTGAACGACGAGAATGTGCAACTAAAATAATAGAATTAAAAGTTATAATAGAAGAATAATTATTTATTAGTAAAACGTATTAGGTGTATGCATTTATTGACTATAATTATTTCAGTTTTCATGCGGGTAAGGCCGTTGTTGGATTTTAATGCATTAAGAAATTTAATATTGTGTTTTGATGCGTAACACAGTAAACATAAAATAATTAAATAGATAGAAACAAATATATAAATAATCAGGGTTGCTTGGAGTTGCCTGACGGGGCACCGATTAAAGCATGCGTAGCAGTACAACTGTACCCCTTTATAGCACATAATAGCGATTTATATGATACATTATTCTTATTTAACTTTCCAAATGTATTTATATATAATTTAAAAGAAATCATCTGGATATCTCATAGATATTTTAAATTGTGTTTAACCAAATTCATATTTACTCACTTAAGACGTTTCGTCCGACTTCGGCGAACTTCATCAATTAACTGACGTGCTCTTATCGTCATTACGCCATTACAGGTGTGGTACGATGACGTGCGCCCTCCGTCTTGTTCTTATTGTACTTATCTCCCCCCTCCCTAGTCGGACATCTTACCCCACCCCCCACCAATAAATTATATTCTACAGCCGCCCCTGATACGGACCTACTGCAACTACTCCAGCGCTCCGGCCTGCCTGTGAATGCTTGATCAAGGTTGCCATTAAAATCGAAATGTTAGAAATCTAGGGCTGTTTTAATTCAACTTGTGAGCTATTTTTGAGTTAGACCTACTTTAATTGCAACCATGAAAAACATTTGTTTTAATAAAATCTGTGCTTCAAATTAGTTATCTTCTGAAGAATGTTATTTCTTTTTTGTATAGGCCTACTTCTTGTTTTATATTTATAGGTTAATTTCCCTAGCTGAACATTATGATTACGGACAGTTATATGATAAAATTAATAGGGGCATTACAATTTGTCTTGGATCCCAAAAATCCCATAAAAGCTAGGCCAAACGGCTCGAAATCGCATGAAAACCGATCATTTTAGACGTGCTTTTTAAGTTATATCCGTTAATATTCCACCGATTTTGTTGGCCGTTTCGGTAACGTTCGTGTCCACAATTTATTTAGAAATAATGTTATTGTATTTATAGTTTATAAATTCAACACTTTCAAATTATATATAATAGTATAAATTAACGTAAGTCATCAAGGTTCAAAATGAAAACCTTGTATATATTGGAACCAAAATTCAAATATCAAAATAAGATTCAAATTACTCTGCGCTGTAGTAAACGGAAAATGACATTCTGGCTCCCATACGCATTATATTTTCCCAATACAGTTGCGGCAGAAATAGAGGGTGCTATTTTAGGTCAGTTAGGAGAACTGA